AAACCCAGAGCTTCACATTGTGACCCAGAACCTCATTCAGGCCTAGGGATTTATCTTGTGCAGACATACTCATAGTCAGCCGTTTGTATAGCAACAAAAATAGTGGCGCCCATGTCTGCAGTCAGCCTCCTAATTACCTGCGAGTAACGAGGGTTGTTTCTCCAGCTATGCTTGCTTCTCCCTGGGATCCCCCTTAGGGGGCGATGACTCACTCGGGTCAGCAGCAGGGTAGGGGGTACACACCATGCCCCCAGATTGAGAAAGGAATAAAGATCTAAAGGGCGTGCCGGCGCTGTCAGACACAGGCTTCAAGCAGTCCACTGAGATAATCCACCCAGCCCGGTCACCCCGAATTCACAAAAAAGCCCCAAAATGTAAAGACACAGGTGGAAGAGGTGCAGCAAGGGCGGATTAACAGCAGGCTAGCATAGGCTGTAGCCTAGGGGCCCCGGATTGATCAGGGGCCCGATTGGCCGGGGTATTTTTTTAAATGGACCTGTGGGCCCCCATTGGTCCATTAAAACGTTGAATCATTTGTGAACCAGTGATAGATAGATACTCTATTGATCCCATGAGGGAAATTGCAGAATTTGGTTTGCTTAGATTGGTTAGATTGGTTAGATGCCATGGGCTCGCAGTTCAAATTGATTTCGGCAGCTTCAGCGGGTGATCTCTGGTGCGAGTTTACGGTAGCCAGCCTCAAAATGCGCGATAGAAAAGATGAGAGAGGGGCGCGAAAGTGAAAAGCACGACGGATAAAAGAGCAGTGTGAGCAGGATCTGCTTGAAAAGATCCCCGGATTGAGTGGTTATTTCAAGTTTGCCGAGCCGGACCCCGCTCCCGTTGTCGGCTAACGGTGCGGCCAGTGCTGCAGCGGGCTCGAGCCTGGGCGCAGTCTACATCCACGCCAAGCACGAGGACGAGCCAGCTCCCGCCACGAGGTCAGAGGCAGAGCCGTCCGAAACGCCACCGCCATCTCCACAAGCCCAACGAGCCGCGTCCGAGCCGCCGCCATCGCCAACGGAGGCCGCAACAGCAGCTCCCGCTTCCTCGAGCTCGGACCACCATGCTGGGGTGAAATAGGGGAACAGAGGCGGCCATACTGGGCTAACTTGGGCCCGAAATCGTGACAAAACCAAGACGCGGATGTTGCAGCATCAGAAAGACAACATGAACACTAAAAGAGGTATTTCTCCAAAACCCTCTTCAAAAGAAAACTCGGAAATGGCGAGTGTGGATCAAGAGAATGGCTGCTGTATTACCCCTCGAAAGGCGTTTTGATTTGCATGTACATTTTTTGGGGACAGCGCCGATCAGTCCGGACTGGCCGCAGGCTGTAGTGACTGGGAATCTGCACGCCTGGCTGAACACGAAGTGCCGGAGAGCCGTAGACAGGCTGTGGTTGCACACGGTATGCGCTGCGCTGATAATGGTCTAATAGATTCAGAACTGAAAAGACAGTTTGACAATGAATATGAGTTTTGGACTGACGTCTAGAAAAGGTTGGTTGAAGTGTTTAGCAGAGCAGAGAGGTCCCGGGTTCGAGCCCCTGCAGTGAGGCAGGAGCTAGGGTGGGGGCGGCGAGGGGCACCAGCTCAAGAACCCGAATCCCTTACAATAACAAGAGGACAGACAAGGACATGTGGGCTATTTCGAAGTCGCAATTGCGAGATAAGAAGTCGCAATTCTGAGTTTTTAAGTCACAATTCTGAGATATGAAATCGCAATTCTGAGTTTTTAAGTCGCAATTGCGAGATTTAAAGTCGGAATTCTGAGATCCAGAGTCGCAATTGCGAGATACCATAGCGCGTTTTTTTTTTACTCCTTGGCGGAAACGGGCTTCCATAGGTCATTGGTCTCTGCTGCGCTGATCTTCTTGCTGTGTATCGTCGGTTTCAAAGTAAGCGTGCGCATGATTTCTGTTGTCAGCTCGCAGATTGCCCGTGAATCTGATTTATTGGTTGCATTGCTGCACTTGCATTACAGGCTGTTGTAGTGTGTGTGTGTGTGTTTGGGCTCCCTGTGTACCTGTGTGTGTGCCCTGCGTGTGCCGCGCTACATTCCGTTTGAATAGGCGGAAGCAGGCTCGTACTCCGAACGCGTCACTGAATTAAAGTAATTTCTCTCGCTTTTTTTCTGGTAATGGGATGGGGGAGGAACCTACACAACGCGTAGCCTAGGGGCCTCTGATCACCTTAATCCGCCACTGGGTGCAGCGTGTGAGCAGCCCCAGTGCCTGAAGTGAAGGGGACCTGAGGTGTCTTGTAGCTCAGCCTGGAGCCACAGGGCTGCAGCGCTGACTGGTTCTCCTCAGCTGCAAGCCCTTCTGGACCCTGTCCGGTCAGCGATACTCCACGCCTTATCTAATCTCACTGCCGGGAGGAGGGAGGTGGGAGCAGCAGCTGATCTGCCCCCCCTGTGAATCGCTCCACAGCTGCGCAGCTGAGCCACAGGACTGGAGTTCTCATCCTCGACAGCGCCCCTCCGGCCCCTCCGGCCCCCCCGACCCTCTCCTCCGCAGCCGAGAGCAAACCTTTAACCCAGCAGCGGTCGTGCAGGAAGTGATATGGCAGCTGAGCCAAAATCCTGTTCAACACCCCAGTGGACGGTGCTGCAGAACAGATTTCTGGTCACCCTTCTTGTCTGTAGGGGACACAGTGGAGTTAAATAATTACCTGCAAGTAACCAGCAGCCATATCACTCTGCAGCTC